ATGGATATGATAATTTTAGTATGATTGATTAACTTTTTGAATTAGGTTTTCTATTTTGTTTTCATTTTAATTTTAGTAAACATTTTAATTTTTTTTCATTTTGTTTTTCTTAATTTTTAATTTTTTTTAAAATGTTTTATATATTTTTACACATTTATGTACATTTTCTATATTTTTTCTTTAATAATTTGCAAATAGCTATATAAAAATAAATTGTAGTTTTTATATTTGATCAGTTTTTCTGTTAACTCATGTTTATTTTGCCCTGTTGTATGGCATTAGTATTTCATAATCTCAATACCCCTGCTGCACATAATATGTGATGTTATCCCTTTTATTATTTGAATTAGTTTGTATATCATTTTAGTCATGCAGATGTAATAATATTGTTTCACAGAGGCAGTTCCTTTCTCTTATTTTCTCTCTCCGTCTGCTCTCCCGGCTGTGGCTGAGAGACTGTCGCCCCATAACTGCATTTTATATACAGATTACATCATCCTGACACACATTACATCATCATATAAACATCGGTGACATCATAATGATTTCATCCCTTTCCATAACCCACCAGTAGCCCTTCAGTGAGGTTTAAGTGAGTCTTTGATTTGTGTTTGCGGATGGAGGATCTGTTTTAGTCGTCTTCATCGTTTCATCACACAGTCCCATTTAATATTACTTTAATAAAAAGTGTGCATCTCTTTCAGGCTGTCGCCGGGAGGGCTCCATGAATGTTCGTCACCATGATGATGACGGACCAAATGCTGGACCTCCCGCCTCCATTGAGCAACGAGCTTCCCATGATGCACCACATGATCAATGGCGATGCATCACAGCAGGTCAGCTCTTCATTTCAATTCTCCCTAAAATCATTGTGATTATACTTTTCTTTTATTGGATGTTGACTTGTTGTTTTTATAGTCCTCACTATTATACATTGGTTGTTATGAGGCAGATACGCTTTAGCTCTCTGATATAAACAAAAGTTGTGATGAGCGAATGTGTAAATGTTTAATGTTTTTACAGATGATCTTGGTCCAGGTGAACCCAGGTGAGACGTTCACCATCCGCATGGAGGACGGGGCTTTGCAGTGCATCCAAGGTTTGAACAATTCTGTGTTTTGTTTTGTTTTGTTTTTTCCTCTAAGTTAATCTCACCTGTTTTGAAATCAATCAAGGCTCTTTTATAGAAGTGTTAGGTGCCGTTTGATTTATTTTTGTTTATTTTCTTGGTTAATGTGAATGCTGTTTTCTTGTAAATGTTGTGAACACATATCGTGGTTTTTGTCTGGACAATAATTTGGATGGTTGGCAATTAGTGGAAATACACCTTTGAAGGCAAATTTGCAAAGCTTATGATCGTGAGAATGAAGTATAATCAGCTTGTTGGAATGGATGCCACTTTTAAAAATATCTACTTTTATTTGGCTGTGTTCTTGGGATGCAGGATGATTGTTTTTGTTTTGATGTAATCACATAATTTTACCAAATTGTTGAATTATAAAACATTTTAAGGGTAATATTTAATACCAGTGGTTTTTAAACTGTGGTACGTGTACCACTAGAGGTACGCTGGCTTACTTCTAGTGGTACGCGGAGACATCACTGAGTAACAAAAGAAAAAATGAATACAATTTTAATCATTTGATGCGTACGATAACACCAATGAGATCAGTATTGATCGTTCTCTAAAGCCTATGACCAAAGCGTTGTGCTTAGAATGTTTACTTTAGTGCATCGCGTCATCAGCTGCTAAAAATCAATTTAATTGGCACAGAACTAGAGAAAGAGGTGCGTGGTGCTCGCAGAGCAGATACTGTACGTGCTAGAGCAGTGGTCCCCAACCGTTGTCTATAGGCACCGGTCTATAGATCAACTGGTACCGCACCGCACATAAAATCCTTCGGATCTTTCGGATGAGACGTTAAACCGAGGTCCCGACTCTCTGTGGCCGTTAAAAATCCCAAGATGTCCTTCGAAAAGAGTAGGGGTTTAACCCCGGCATCCTGGCCAAATCTGCCCACTGGCCTTTGTCCATCATGGCCTCCTAACCATCCCCATATTCAATTGGCTGCATCACTGTCTCCTCTCCACCAATCAGCTGGTGTGTGGTGTGCGCTCTGGCGCAAAATGGCTGCCGTCGCGTCATCCAGGTGGATGCTGCACACTGGTGGTAGATGAGGAGATTTTCCCCCACTGTGTAAAGCGCTTTGAGTGCCCAGAAAAGCGCTATATATATGTAAGGAATTATTATTATTATTATTAATTATTTCAGTTTATTTTATTTTTTGAAAAATTACCATGTTCTCATCTCGGTCACTTGAGTGGAAAATTTAACCCACACGCTAGCAAAATTAGTAATAACTGCAGCACGAAGCGCTTGCGTATTCCAGGCATCCCCAGTTGAAAACATCTTAACTTTTCAGAATGCCGCACTGCGAGTCATGTGATAAGAACTGACCGATCAGCTTCATATTTTGTATGGAATATAATTTTGTTAAACGAATATGCCTCTGCTTCGTTTTTGAACTGTGCAGTGCTGTAGCTGCTTAATTTGACCAACTACGCTACTTTATTTCAATACTGGTCATTATGGTGGTACTTGGAGAGACAATTTTTCCTGAGGTTGTACTTGGTGAGAAAAGTTTGAGAACCACTGTTTTATATTAATAAAGATGTCTTTTTATTTTATTTTGTAATATTTTTCTGTAATCACAAGCTTGCATGTGTGTGTGTATGTATGTATATATGTATTAAGGGGTTTTATACAGGGCTTTATATTAACGCCCGCCAATCTGCCAAATGCGGGTAGTTTTCGGTTGTGGCGGGTTAGACAGCCACTCCCACTAGCCACTTTGGCTGGCTGAAACAAATTTTTAAATTGCTCGTTGTCACTACAGATTAGTCTGTTATTTTATGACCGTTTATCTATATGAGTATCAAATCTTAGAATCACGAAGCAGCACGACTGACAAAACAGCTTTTTGCGCGAGAATGCAGGTGTATAACAAATTAGAGGATCACACGCATGGTAAGACAGGGCTTTCCTCACTCAATGACAAGGGCTTTAGTGTTGCACGTTATAATACAGATTATTGAGCTCAAGCTAGAGCTGGACGATTCTGGCTAAAATAAGAATCGCGATTTTTATTTATTTATTTATTTATTTATTTGCCTAAAATAAAAATTATGATTTTCTCACAATTCTGTAAATGTAAAATAAGGGTTAATATGAGTGGGCTATTATTATTGTTATTCTCAAACATGTGGTAAAACAGCAATAGGCTTTGTGTAGCTGTACTGTTGGTTAAAATCCTAAATTTTGTATAGATCTGGAATGATAGACTTGAGCAGACTTTAGATTTGTCCTGGTCATTAATGCTGATGATAATTCTAATGTTGAGTTATTGTGTTTGAAACATATGCTTACAATCTGTCATATTATGCTTAAAATTTGCCACTGGCATGATTTTTGTAAATACAGAAGACTGGGTGGGTATTTTTGCATTTCGGCGGGTTTTGGATACGTTTTGGGAAGAGCGGTTCACTTCCCGTGTGGCTCCCAAACGACCACTCTGTGCCACAAACTGAATGTTATTTACAACATTATTACCTGTTATTCATGAATCACAGCCTATGCAGGTTCTGTTCACTAAAGTAGACTTCATTCAGAGGCGCGCGCGTGACGGTCAGCTCACGTCACGTGTGATTTTGCGGTCTCAAATACATTTCATGAAGACAGAAATGTCATTTTTGGGGTGAATTATATCTTAAAAATACAGCATGTGACTCTTTCAACACCATTTGGAGATGTCCACGTTGCTGAACAACGTATGTAAAACTATGTGAAGACTTGTGGAGCCACCATTGCTTCTCTCCTGAACTTGAAAATATGATTAACAGAATCGCAGAAATGCTGGATTAAGACTGTCTTGGGGGTCGAATCGAGGTCGCGATCTTTTTACGATTAATTGTGCAGCTCTAGCTCAAGCTTAACTTCAAAATTAAATCACAAATAAAAACGAAATCACAATATCTGTTAAAAAAATTGCAATTAGATATTTTACCCAAATCACACAACACTAACATGCAGTGATCAATATGCTGACTGCATTTATTTAGCACTAAAATTAGCCCGGACGCTAATGTTGCATTAATAACGAAATGAAAGCGTTGACAATGCATTTGTTTAGCAGTAAAATTAGTCATTATAAATAGACATATTAGACAAATATAGACATATTAGCCATAAACTTCTATGATTTTCTTCTTATTTTAATGTTTTATTTGATCTTATTTTAAATTAATTTTGCTAGCTTACCCCGGTCTATAAATACACCAATTGCCAAATTGTGCAAGCCTGCAAACATGCAAATCCATTTGAAAAATCCATTTTTTCCCTATTATAAAAACCATAAGCAGATATTTCCTAAATTCTGCAGCCCTAAAATGTTTCCACAGTAATTATTTGCAAAACCTCTAAGAGATCCATGTGTGTCAGTTCTCCAAAAACCATCTCAAACCCTCTCTTGTGTGTGGACAGCACGAAAGGCATTCTCACTAAATGGATCCATACAGTAAATTGCGTCTGACCTCATAATGTCTTTTTAACTTCATAAAGGCCACTGGATTCCCTCAGTAAGAGTTTTGTGAGTGTATGTAAGCGATTTAAAAGCGGAGAGTCACAGTAGCCCAGACCGCAGGAGACTGGATCTGACCGTCTGAGCTCACATCACTGTTTACACAGCTAAGAGGAGCTGCGACGCTCGGTCTGATTGAGTTTGTCCAATGAGAAGAGCAGACTCAGCAGCGGAGGACTGTGTGTTTTATGAGCTGGCAGAAGGCCGACGGATAGAGAATGCAGACAAGAGAGAGTCTGAGCCTCGCAGGTCTGCAGAAGATGCCATCCGAGGCCACGCCGACGTTCTGGCATGTTCAGGATAAGAGCTTTTGTTTGATTTTCTAACGTTTGCTCGATCTTTGCCAGGTGGCCCGTCCTGAACTGGATAAGCCTCCAGTCTCCTGTTATCCTTTGATGTTGACTTTGCAGGTTTTTGCAAACAATTTGCTGATAAATGTTTTCCCAGGGCTGGGCAGTGTACAGTTGGCTTATCGTTATTAAAACACTGCTGTAAAGAGGATCTGGAGCTCGCAGCGCCTTCAGGGTCACAGAATGTCTGAAGGTGCAGAATGGAGCTGCATGAGGGTTTTCATACTAAAGATGATTACGTTAATCACATTAAGTGCATTTATTCTGTCTGTCTGTCTGTCTGTCTGTCTGTCTGTCTGTTGTTCTGTCTGTCTGTCTGTCTGTTGTTCTGTCTGTCATTCTACCTCTGTGTCTGACATTCTGTGTGTTTCTTTGTTGTTGTGTCTGTTGTTTTGTCTCTCTGATGTTTTGTCTGTCTCTCTGTCATTTTGTCTGTTGTTCTGTCTGTCTCTGTTATTCTCTCTGTTATTCTGTCTGTCTCTCTGTCATTCTCTCTGTTGTTCTGTCTGTCTCTGTCATTCTGTCTGTTGTTCTGTCTGTCTCTCTTTTATTCAGTCTGTTGTTCTGTCTGTCTCTCTGCCATTCAGTCTGTTGTTCTATCTGTCTCTGTGTCTGTCTGTCGTTCTGTCAGTCATTCTGTCCCTCTGTCTAATGTTCTGTTTGTCATTCTGTCTGTCTGTTGTTCTGTCTGTCGTTTTGTCTCTGTCAGTCTGTCGGCCATTCTATCTGTCTGTCTGTCTGTCTTCCGTCTGGTGTTCTGTCTCTGTCAGTATGCAGGTCATTCTGTCTCTTTCTCTGTTATTGTCTGTCTTGTTCTATCTGTCTCTGTAGTTCTGTCTCTGTCTGTCGTTCTGTCTGTCATTCTGTCTCTGTCAGTATGTCGGTCATTCTGTCTGTCTCTGTTATTGTCTATCTTGTTCTGTCTGTTGTTCTGTCGGTCATTCTGTCTCTGTCAGTCTGTCGGTCATTCTGTCTGTTCTGTCTGTTGTTCTGTCTGTCATTCAGTCTTTGTCAGTATGTCGGTCATTCTGGCTGTCTCTGTTATTGTCTATCTTGTTCTATCTGTCTGTCTGTTGTTCTGTCTCTCTCAGTCTGTCGGTAATTTTGTCTGT